AGAGTTGATCAACGTAAGGCCTGCATATTATTATTAGATTACTGACATTATGAATTACTGCAGTTAGCTATCGTATTGCACTGATTGTGAGATATTCTCTTTCGATGCTTTCAAATGCCCGAGAGGATTATAAATCTCAGATAGTATCACATCGTTTGAAATTAGAGAGTTCAAATGATGCGTGTTTTGGATGGATGAATAGTGCATGATCATCTCCGATCAATCCACTAGCTGAATGGTCTTGCTTTCTGAATGTGGGCCTAATCTCGTGGCTGTGCCAGAACCGATTCATCGAGTGAATGAACAAAATGAATAGTTTCTCGAAACATTCGTCATGAAAATTCATAAAATGTACCTCTCGTTTCATCCCATTCTTCCACCTCACTGCACTCTGAAATGTAATCAGTCAGATTTTACAAATAGTAATAGCAACAGTAGTAGCGTTAATAGTGAACGTAATAATAATAATGATAAAAATAAAAACAGTAATAATAATAATAATAATAATAATAATAATAATAACAATAGTAACGGCAAGCATGATAAAAATAACAACAATCCCACATATCATACCAAATGCTTGATAAGTCTCTCCATCCGTCAAATTTTTCCGATGCTTAGTAACCAGGAAGCAGATTTGGATTATGTGCGCACTGAATTTGTAATGCTGCGCTGTATCCGAAATAAATTTGTTTCATTTTGAGTACAATCGAACAGAATAATCTAGAGATATCAAATTTGCCCTCAAAAAATCTTCTTTTATGTTGTAATAATGACAGTAATAATGTTATTTTCCGAAAAAGATTTATTTTTTGCTTCATCTGAAATATAATTACGAACGACATTCAACCGAAAACGATTGATGCATTCAGAATGTGCTATCGAATGCTTGCATAAATTATCGTTCCGTCCTTCATTCCGTTGTGCTTAAGCAAAGCAATTACGTGTATCGCTTGCATAATGGTGCCTTACACCAATCTGATAGCGTAAAAAGCTCACATATACACCCTGAAAATTTCTGTTAGAATTCAGAATTGTTGCAAGCTTGTAGTGAATTACGAATGTATTTAATAGACAGAACCCTCGATGTCATATTCATTCATTCATCCGTAAAGCAGCATGTGGTAGAACCGCTCGGGCAATTATTTATTATGTGTTCATTCGATCATGATATGCAATAAATGCATGCGCACGCGGTTATATTGTGGCAACCATGATGAAATGTTTTGCTCGTGATTTTGTTGCGTTGAACAGATTATGATACGATTATTGTAGCATTCGAATATTCGAATATAATTGTACGATCAGATTCAAATGATTGTCAATCAGACCAGTGTTGTATGGCCCACAATCATCAGCTTATTCAGGCAGGTTTCACTTGACGAGATATTCGGCTCTGAAGAGAGCATCAATCATTCACTCTTCTCGTCGTGAATGAGATATTTTTCGAAGTGATGTTACAGTGAAAAATGTTAATATTTTGAGTGATACGTATGTTTCAGTAATGAAATTTCGACATTTTTGAAGTGAATTTGTAAGAATTGTAGGTTTAAGCTTTTATTTGGACAATTGAAGTCAATTTTTGAAACGTTAGTTCATTCAAGCAGAGAATAGATAGATTCAATTCAGCTACGTGATTGGTTGTTTTTTTTTTCGCTTTTCCGTATCCGTATCATTCGGTGCTTAGAGCCACTTAATATTGTTATAGATATCAGTTTGCGAGTCTGCATTCATAAATAATGATTAAAATTATGCACGTATAGTAACATTAGGGAATGTTCATTTGATATCCGATTAGAATAAAAATTTTCCGATATATGAATGTTACGGAATGTTTGACAGATTAACGTTTGCGTTGTTGAAACATGAAGAATGAGCTGATATTACTGTTGCAGCTATTATCATTAATGCTATTCGTCTCACTGATATTATTATTCGTATTATCATCGTAATTATTGTTATCGTTACCGTTATGATCACTATTAATATTACTATTACTGTCAATGTCAGTGTTATTTGATGTGAATATGTTGTTGGATAATATACGACGACGTAAAATAGCAAACAAAATATTATATTATATGATGATATGGACGTGTGGCGAGCATTTATTTTGAATGATTACGGAAAGGTAGATTGCAAGTTGATTGATCGTTGTTATTATCGTATTGAAAGCAACGAAATTGCCAAAACATTTCATTTTGAATGCCAACGAAGAAGCTTATCTCGGAACAATAACAAATTCAACAACAAGACTATTATTATTTAGACGTTCATTTTGTAATAGTCTGTCGTTACTCACATGCTTGAATCTATGTTAGTATTTTGTTTTCTGCATCCATCTCCTCCGAATGAGAGCCATTTTTATGTTATTTTGATTCAATGTTAGCGCAACTAAATATTCAGAATAGTAATGAATATTAAATAACATACGATTGGTTGTTTTCTCAATTCTACGGCTAAAAACAACTCATTTTCAACGAGCGAATAGCTAGTAGCTGTCTGCTCACATTCAGCCCGTCAGCTTACTCATTTATCTTGTGATATATTATAGAACAGTTACGGAGCAAGATCATATGATAATCACACGACGAAAAGGATTAGAAGAAGAGTATTTATTGTGTTTATTTAGTTCGTTTTTGTTAAACGTTATTTCGACGAGGATGGTTTAGCTTTCATTTAAACACATTATCGGTTGTTCAGTTTCACTGTTTATTTTCTTCTTAATTTCTTCACAACAAATTCTTACCATATACCATAATATGTCAGAAGCCAGTCAGCCATTTACATATGTGATGTTCATATCTACAAAATTTTTTCGTTTCTTAATGTTTCTGTTGTCCCATATCCACACCGATAACGGCTTTCATTGTCTGTCGATCAACTTATCTATTCGTCATTTCATTTATTCTCAGTCATTAATTCATTAATAGTTATTCATTCATCAATTTGATTTGATTTCGCTTGAAGACACGAGGAACGAAGACATTATGTTTTGTTTTACATATTGGACACATTTTGGTTTTGATCTACTAGCTTCATATTTGTACTTCACATTGCATTTCGTTATCCGCTTTAAGTTAAAGCAGCAGACATTATTGTGATCGCGTATAATGGCAGTTGAAGAGCACTTTGCCATAGCCGTTCCCGTATTAGTGAGCAGTGTTCCGAATTGTTTGCAAA